GGGCCCCAGAAGCAATGGGGTGAGAAGCCAGGCTAGCAAAGTTGTGAGGCCATCCAGGTTTGCCTTTGGGAACTTCCCATCTCACATTTCTCTTCTCTGCTTTTAACCCCACAAGCCCTACTCCTTAGCCCATAACAATTACAACCCAAGAATCTCACATTCCGCCAACCCAAGTTTTGCTTCTCTCTGATAGCTATTTTTCCCTACAATGTCCCTTTCCATTTTCTTCTATCCCCTCAAAACATGACTCATTCTGGGTCTCGTGGGTCCCTCTGCAAAAGTCACATCTAAGTTTCTGATTAACATACTCAGCAAACTTAGGTTTAGCTCATAGATTGATATGGTACTTTTCTCAAGGTTGTCTGTGTTTTAAACAAGGAACTCAGTAATGCTTCATCCAAAAGAGTAAACCCCCAATGGTAGAGCTCTGGAAGCTTTAGAGATGCTTAGAGCTTCTAGGAAACAAAGAAAGCAGATATTTTGGGCCAGGGGGCAGTGGCTCACACCTGTAATCCTAACACTTTGGGAGGCCAAGGCGGGTGGATCACTTGAGGTCAGGAGTTTGAGACCAGCCTGGCCAACATGGTGAAACCCCCGTCTCTACTAAAAATAGAAAAATTAACCAGGTATGGTAGCACATGCCTGTAATCCCAGCTGCTCGAGAAGCTGAGACAGGAGAATCACTTGAACCTGGGAAGCAGGGGTTGCAGTGAGCTGAGATTATGCCACTGCACTCCAGCCTGGGAGGCAGAGCAAGACTCCGTCTCCAAAAAAAAAAAAAAAAGAGGATATTTTGGGTCAGAGGCAGGCTCAGAATCCCTTGTGGGTCGAGGATAGGGATCACAGTACATATATGAACACATCCTCTGCCAACACATCAGCCTTCCTGAAAATCAAGAAAACAGACAATTGTCAAACGAAGAAAGGCAGTGGTCGTTGGAGTGTGTGTGTCAGCAGGCAGGGGGATAAGAGTGCATTTACATGCATATGCGCCTGCGCATATTAGAGAGGAGGGACTTCCAACTGGCTACTGTTCCTCAGCTTGTTTCCAAGAGATAAAAATGACAGCTGTTTGGCTTACACAGTTAATTAACCTGAGGAATGCGCTGTGTAAGACTGTTACTAAGGCAGCTGGGTAATTAAGTTTTTCCCCAGAAAGGGAGGGAATGGGGGATAAATAAAGCATTTAGGAGAGCAGACACAACACTGGAGGAGACATTGTCGGGAGCAGAAATCAGGGATAGAAAGCTTTCCAGCTAATCCGCTGGTTCTTGAGAACTGTGTGCCATCCCGGAAATGACTGAAGGGCATGGCGCAACCCCTGCCTTCACACGCCCTGAGAGAGGACAGTGGACTCTCGGGGTCACACACAGCCCAGCTGTCTCTGAGAAGCAAGCTGAGTGGCCAGAGCTGAATAAACGGCAAAGTTTGACTAACTCCTTCACTTCACACGCGGAAAAATGGTGGTTTGTAGAAGAGCCCTGACTTTCACAAGGTCACATCCCTGTTATTAGTGTCAGACCCAAAACCAGAAAGAGGGAGCCTTCACCCGCAGTCTGGGATGACTTCACTAACCATAACTGCCTGTGGATTCTTCAACAGCTCGCTCTAAGTCAGATTGGCATCAATCACCTTGAGAGGCACAGAGGAGGGCAGCCCAGGGATGGGTGGATTTTAGTGAGGTACGTGAACACATGTCCTGATCAGGGAAGAAATGCTCAGCAGTGTGCTTCGCAGATGGGGCAGCCTCTGCATGCGGATGCAGCCACCAGGAGGGGGGCAGGAGAGAAGGGTTGGATAGAATAGTTTGCATCTGCCAGGCACCAGGTTGGTGGTCACTTTACACATTCTTTTATGCAGTCCTCATGACAACCACTGAAGCCCATTTTTCAAATGAGGCCCAGGGATAGCACAGAAGTAAATGAGGGCAGGGAAGCATCACAGAATCACAGACGTTTTCATCCATGCCTTGAGATTGAGGGAATAATAGTGCAGTGAGTTTTCCTAGAATCCATCCAGGAGCTGGAAGAAAGAAAACAAGAGGCCAGGGTGATGGGACGACAACTTCAGGCCGTTTTGGTAAAGAACAGCCTTGTCCCAACCATAGACAGTTAATGGGTCATCAAAGCAGACGAGCCCAGAAGGGCAAAGTTAGGGAGGCAGAGAAGATGCCATAAGGCAAAGCTGGTCAAGACCTATGTCCATTGCAGGGTTGCAACATGGACCCGGAATTTACAGAAGCAAGCCCTTGAGACCGATGGGATTTAGCAACTGAGACAGAATTGAGTAGAGGAGGTAACATGAAAACGGGCTAAGACTGGTCCACAAATAAAAAATAAAAAAAAAAAGCCACACTTAGAGGTAGGGAAGTAGGAGAGACAATTTTGGAACTAAAAGGAGTCTCCACTGCTCCTGTAACTCCATTCTGCTGAGTCGCCCTGTGTTAGTTGACTGAAACTGGGGGTAGGGAGTGGAGGGAGTAAGGCAGAAATGTCCAGGGGTCATAAATGCCCACCCCATTGCCCTTGCATTCATGGCACATCAGTAGGATGTGGCACAGAAGAACGATCTGGTCCTGGGGCTCAGGGCTCGCTATGTCATCCCTGCATGAAGATAGAACAGAGGCACTAACCAGAGGCCTTGGCTTCAGGGAGGTGTATCTGTGGGAGTGGGAACTGGTAGACAGTGGTGAGAGGGGTAATAGGGAAGGGTGAAGGGAGAGGCAGTAGGAATGCAGCATTGCATTCGGCCAGCCTCGTTTCCGACTGTGGCTGTCCAGTACACCCCCTACCTCTAACTACTCAGAAAACTCAATACACAATGTGTTTCTCTCAGAAGTCTAAGGTCCCAGCACACACCCAAACCCTCCCAATAGCTCACAGGGAAAACAAGAGCCACTTCATGGGGTGTTATAAGAATTATTCAAGATAATTTATATAAAACTCTTAGCATGATGCCAAGGACATACATGATATGCTTAATGAATTATAGTTGCCATTGGTATCATTTAATAACAAAACAAACTTAAAAACTGACATTAGAACTCAACAGAATTAAAACCTGAATTTCTAATTCTTATCACGCAGCCACCAATGCATCCAGAGAGGGTTCAGGGTACATCTGTCCAGAGAATGAAAAGGGAGTCTCTATGCCTTTAGTATCTATCTTCATTGCTGGAACTCATGGCCTTTGAGAAGGGTAGGCATGTAGTAGTGAGGGAAAGAGAAATGAAACAAGACAGAGAGGTAGAAAATGGGGGAGAGATGCTGATTGTCAGCAGTCGGCTCATTGCCAAAGAATGCTGAGGAAAAGAAGGGACCCTAAAGACCATCTCATCTAATACTCACATACAGAAAAGGACAGCAAGGCTTAGACAGGGGTAATCTCTTGCCCAAGGTCACACCTCAAGTGGTGTGACCTGAAACTATACACTACACTCAAGACGATACTCCCTGCCATCCTCTATTCTTTCCAAAAAGCTAGATAAATTTATTCCCCCTTAGAAAAAAAAGAAGAGCGAGCCAGTGCTTCTCAGCTTTCACAGCAGAAAAATAGCTGAGATTTATCCATCCCCAGGGTTGCAAAAGTCTAGACTTCTGTTTTATAAGCACCCTGTTTTGCTCTCAAGGGGATGCTTAGGAGCAGTGAAGACAGTTGGTTTCCCAGGGCATCAGAGAGGCAGAGGGCAGGTCAGTGTGAAGCCAAAAGCCCTAGGCCTGGAGGAGGAGAGACTTTTTGGATGGGGCTGGGATTGAGGGTACATCCCAACAGAGGGGCCTCTGACCTCTCCTTGCCTCCCCTCCCAAAATGCAAGTCAGCCTGAGAAAGGAAATCGGCAGAGGTCTCCCTGAAAGTTTTAGACATGGGCTTGTAATTTGGAAGAAACAGCCAAAATCACTCTGTTGCCTAAAAAGCTCAATACTGCCAGGTCCCCTGATGCTCATGGAGTAATCTAGACCCACAGGGAGTGCTGGCTAGGAATGGCCATCTTACCCAACCCTGTCAAATGGGCTTCCCCACATCCAAGTGGGTGAGATGCAGAAACCACAGCCATCTCTGCTCAGCACCTCCAGTCATTTCCCTATACCACGTGTAACTAAAAAAGCCAAGATAATGCAGGGACTAGAAGGGCAGTGAGGCCCAGAGGCCGTATCACATACCACCTTCCACAGCCCAGAAGACAAGGGCAGCCTGGAAAGGGGAAACCACAGATAACCCAGGTCTCTTTCCCCAAAGCCTGCAGCAACTCGGGACAAATCACTCCCTTATCCATTCCCTTGTTCAAGCAAAATGGCCGAATGAGGCAGCTGGTAGACAAGAAAACACTGAGCGATTTCAACTTTGGTAAAGAAAGATTCCACCCTGCTGAGGGCAGACAAAAAGAAAACCAAAGTTCCTACAAAAAAAGACCCAGAGACAATGTAGAAGAAAAATACAACAGCTGTTTATAAAAGCCATGCCTAACAGGTGATGTTAGTCGTAGCTCAAAGCGTTGTGTTTCTGGATTTGATCCAACTTACATCTGAGCCTCTGACCCTGCTGGAGAAGTTCAAGTCACTTCCTCATCTATCTCACTGACTGTGGTACAGCTCAGTTCCTGACATGGCAAGAACACAGTTCGACCCACACATCCCAGCACCAAATAACACATGAGGCTCTATACACCTAAATGGCCAGTGTTTGGCCTATTTGCCTATTCCCAAGACTTGAAAGACTATCCTGCCCATGCCCAAGGACTGAGAAAGGACTCCATGTCATCTCAGAGAGATAAGAGAGAAATGAGCTATTTAGTTAATTCTGAGTACATTTCCTCTTGCCCAACTAACAAGTAAATTTCTTAGAGGCAAGGATCTGGCCTTATACTTTTACTGCACTCCCCAGTCCACGTAGTGCACAGGGCTTGGCCTACACCAAGTACATTCTAAGTATTCAGTGGACAAATGGCAGCTCACACATCCCTCCCATCCTGCTTTCCTCCAGTCCTGGGAAGTAGGGCCTACCTCACCATGCTGGGTGCAGTAGGTCTCAGGCTTGGTCAGTCCACAGGTAGATGAAGCTTGGAGAAACCGGGTCCTCCCAACAAGCAGGTCCCCGACAGGTGGATAGCAGGCCCCACGGGAGCAGGCTTGCTGGGCATGCAGGAGGCCAGGTAAGGCTGAAATCATAGGGATGTGTGATGGTGCAGTCCAGAAAGAGATGGACCTCGCTGGCCACCCCCAGTGTCCTTCAGGGAAGCTGACATTAGCAAGATTATATCCTCTCCCTCACTCAAGCTTCCACTCGCTGCTGGTGGTAATAATTGCAGTATTGATACTGTTAGATTTTAAAAGTTGATTTCATATTCTATATAACTCAAAACTTGAAAAGGAGAAGAGGAGAAACACTGGCAACCAAAAACCATAGATGACCGTAAAATATGGCTTTTAGAACCAGACTGGAGACATTGACTCGGCCATCACGACAAGGTCCGCGGCTCTTTCCACCTGCATTGTGGCCTCTGTGAGCAGCCCAGAGGAGGGCTGACTGCTGAGCCATTGGCAGAACATTCAGAAAGGCCTGCGTTCATTCTGCTCCTTTATCTTCAAAGCTGCCCCAGCCACACTTTGTGAGTTCCCAGCTACAATTCACTGGAAAACAGGAACTTAAGCCACAATGGCTTTGGAACGAGCTTGAGAAAGGATGTGAAACTGTGGAGAACACTCGGGAAACCACAAACTACCCTCGGGTAAGAATAAGACGACGTTTGGGAGCCTTTCCAGAGTGGCAGAAAATCTTCTTCCCCAAAGGCCCAAAGGAATGGGGAAATCTCACAGGTGTCCCCAGTAGACAAGTATTCCCAACTGAAGGGACTACAGGTGACAGGTGATGCCCACACTTTGGTAAACTCTCCTCCTCCCATGACTGTCGCCTCCCTGCCATATAACAGGGCCTGGAAGGATGGGAAGGGGTACTTACCAAAACACAAGAGGAAGAGTGGTCTCATCTTCAGCCAATGGGGTGATCCCCAGAAAGGACCTTACCTAGGACAGAGCAAAGCAACCTGGGTAAACAGTGCAAACACCTAGAGCACACTAGCCCCTTTTCTTTTCTGTTTCTAGACTCAAGTTTTTTTCAGAAGTTTTTTTCAGAAGTCTTTACCTAGGGTCCTGATCTAGAACACTTGGTGCAGCAGATACATTTGTAGCCAAAAGCTTGCAAAATGCTGGAGCTCTAGACCCTTGTCTCAAGTGGCATGTGACTCACAGGGTGCCCTGCGAAAATCCCATCCCCTCCCATACTCCAGCTTCCTCCTCTAAAATGGATGGGAAGGAGTGTGGACCCTGCCCTACCCCACACAGCCATATGGACAATGTGGGGAGCAGGAAAAGGCTGGAACCCTTGCAAGAGAAAAGCTGTAGGAAGGTCCAAGGCCTAGTTCCCGCCCCGAGAGGGCTGGTTTTTCTCAGAGCCTAGACCGGCAACCTCAACCCAGCCCAGCCCAAAGTGAATGAGTCAGAGTGGCTGACAGCCTGGAGGCAAGCCTTCTCCTGCCATGGGCATGGCCTCCAATACCATCCAGGGCCACTTAGAGTTTGAGGCTGTGTGCCCACAATTCTGGGCTAAGCAGCACCTGGGATGCAACAGGGAGAGATGTATGGCTGTCTTTAACAAGTGAGTGAGGATTTCATCTGAAAGGGAAGCAACCCAAAATGTCTTCAGTGATGGGCTGGGGCTCGACAAGAGGGGTGGGGCTGGGAGGCCACAAAGCAGGGATTCTGAAGGAGGCTGGGAAAGGATGCCCGAAAGCCACTATGGGGTCCCAGAGGCAGGCTTGCCTTGTGGAAACATGCCCCACCCTTGCTCATGCAGTGACCCCCTCTGCCTTGAATTGGATGTTCACTCTGTTCCAATGACAGCCACAAACTCTTTTGGCTGGGGTGGAGGGCTGGGGGCTTGGCAAGGCAGGGGCAGAGGGGGAATTGAGGATATTCCTGCCATCTTTAAATTATAGATCCTAATGCTTCAAAATAATTCCTTCTAATCCCTCTCCTAAAAGAGTCATGGGCCCAGGGAGGGAACATGTGGCCTGAGGTCCCACAGCTAATTGGCCTAAGAGAGACCCAGCTTCTGACTTTCATCCAGTGCTTTCTCAGCTTTCCCGCCCCTGACTGGAAATCCCCCTGGAAGCAGACATTCTGAGCCAGGCCAGCCCACCCTTTTCACTTCTCTTTTGTGCTCAACCCCGGATCTGAACCTGCTTTCCTCTAAGCCACTGAGGCGCTTATCAAATGTGAAAAAGCAATCAAAACTGTAGCAGATATTTTAACCTAGCTCACCTGACTGAGCTCCCAGGAAGAGGAATAAATCAGGTCCTGCAACCAGGCCCCAGGCACCCAGAGATACAGTTCTCCTCCCCCATCCGGCCCCCACCAGGCAGGTAAAGACAGGTAACCTACCTCACTGTGTGTTCTGCCGTTCTTCCTCCAGATCGCCTGAAAGCTCCTCTTGAATGTGGGGGTCTCCCCTCCTGGCTCCAGGTTTTTAAACAACAGCCTCACCTCTGGAGACTCCCTGGCTGGGTGTAGCCCCACCGCAGGGCGGGTCTCAGGAATCTGGCAGCCGTCACACCCATCTGTCGTCACTGCACCCCCACCTCCCAGGACAGGACTGGGCAAGTGGGTTGGTCGGTTGGTCCTAGAGGCCTTGCAGTAAGCTCCACAATGCCCGCCTCCCTGTGGGGGCTGCAAGGGGCACCACAAACGGCACCAGGCACATGTAAGTGATCATCAGAGACCAGGATTCATAGGGTGGGGAAGGGCCCTTGCATCTGTGCCAGGCAATGAACTCCTCATTTTCCCAAGGCCAGCAGCGGTCAGCTTCTTCTTGTGACCTGGACCACCCCAGACAGAAGATCCGGCAGAGAACACAAAGATTAGGGCTTATATAGAGAGTTAAAGCCCCAGACATGTCACTGGGCTGGAAGGTGAGAAGACCCAAACATCCAGGACCCTGGAAAGTACCATTCCCCTCCCCAGTGGAAAAAAAAAAAAAAGAAAAATCCCAGCTTCTTGGGGGAATTTGGAGGATCCTCAAAAGGCAAGGTTTATCAGGAAGGATTCAAAGCTCAACTCATCCAAGGAAAGCTTAAGAGAAATGAGCAGAGTAACTCTAAATGCCTCCCCTCCAGCTCCTTCCACAGAGTTGGCAGGGAGCCCTGGGACAGGTAACTGCCTGTGAGTCACTCCTCCCACCTGTGGGGAGGGTTAGTCTCCTGGCCCCTCCCTCCCTGGGCAGGAATGCCCGCCTGGAGGGCCAGAAAACAGACCTGACCACAAGTGGTGGAAGGAAAGGCTGAAGCATAGCTAGACTGACAAAGTCAAAACAGACTTTCCCTGGCCTCCTGCCAGGCCTGAGAACACAGCTTCCTTTGTGGGCTCCTTGCTCAGGGCTCCTGGGCTTCCAGCCACTGTAAATGGACGTGGCAGGTCCAAATTGAGAGGCTGGTCTCACAGGACACTCTTTCCCCCAGGTTAGAGTCGGAGAACTTTTAGGGAAACCTGGAGGGCCACCCAGTCCATATCTTGGCCCTGGAGAGCCTGCACTGGCACCGTTTTGGAATGCTAGGACCTCAAAGTTGCTATTTAAAGGAACTTCTTAACTACCTATTCCACTTCGTCAGTGTCTCCTAAACAGAAAGTTCTCTATCATTGGAGGGTTATGTCCAAGAAATTGGCTTGAAGACCCTTAAGGGAGAAATGTAGAATTTTGTGGATTAAATTGGGCATTTCTAACCCTCAGATTCTAATTTAGCGTAAGTTCAGGTAGGCAGAAGAAACAGTGTAATTAGCAAAGTGGGCAGTAAGTTGCTGATGTAAGTTGATGCATAATTGATATTCCAATAAATGTTAGAGTCTTGCCCCTTGTAAGCACTCCAGTGAAATCTAGCTCAACTCAGCAAGTAAGGGTCAGTAGAAGCAGTGTCTCTTCAACACAAAGAGACCTCCCTCAAGTCCCCCACAGAGAAAGGTCACCTCGGACACTGACACGCCTGTGTTTTCAGTTCTCCCACCTGGTGGTCTCTTTCTCTCCACTTCCCCAACTCCCTGAACTCAGAGCTCTCAGGAAACTTCCGCCCTCTGCCCATCACCAGAGAATGTGACAAAGAACTCATTAATAATTAACTCAGCAGAAGAGAGCAAAGTGTTGCAATCCCAGATCCTCAGAGGAGACAAGGCAGGGCAGGTGTGCGGTGGGCCTCACCATGAGTAGCTAGGGCTCCTTAAATCCACCCCCCTCCCTTTATCTGAGGCCATGAGCCCAGGTAAATACACATTCGGTGTCTCAGACTTCACAGGTTTGGGCAGGTCCTGGAGTGGTTTGGCTTCGCAGGAGGGACATGCCAATTGCTGTGCTTGGCTCTCCCCCACACTCCTGGCAAAGTCCAGGAAGCTGTTTATGCAGACCCCCAAGAGCGGCCCAGCCAGCCTCACTCCTGAGGGACACTGATCATTTCCAAGTGGGGATCCAGTCCCCTGAGAACTCTAGGGCTCCAGGCACAAACTTTGGAACTTCAGAACCCAATTTGTTCAGTCAGGTAGCCTAAAATAGAGCCTGATGCCAGATCAGGGTCCGGCTAAGATTAAAAGGGTGTAGTACTGTGGCTTGAGCCCCTCAGCCTCCCCTGTGTGCACACCTTTCCTCTCTCCCTGCTCCCATCCTCTTACATCAGAGCACTCATCTGCCCTAGAGCCTTGGCTTATTAGAACGTGTGCTCAGGAAAGTGGCTAGTGAAGTCATCCCAGACTTCAGTGTCTCAAACCTCATCACTCCATCAGCAAATTCGGTCAGCTCCCCCTTCCAATAATAATCAGAATCTACTTCTGCCCTCCTGGCCTAAGCCTCTCTTCCTGGGACGTCTGCAACAGCCTCCTCACTGATATATGGTCAAGTCCCAACACAGCAGGTTATGTACCCCCAGCTCAGAATCCTCACATGCCCCTCTCCCACGCAAGTCCAAGGCTGGAGATTTTTCAGAGTCTAGGGGCCCTACACCACCTTCCTCCCATTACTCTTCCCCTCTACTACAATGGCCTCTATCCCTATCTTAGCTCAGGCTTAGGGCTTTGGCTCTAGCTGCTTCTGCTGCCTGGAATGCTATTGCCCCTGGATATCTACAAAGCTAACTCTCCGACCTCTTTCAAAGTCTTTGTTCAGATCCTAACTTCTCAATGAGGCCTACCCTAAACACACGATTAAAATTATAGCCAACTTCCCTGCCCCATCCCTGTCCCCCATCCTAGCACTCCTAACCCCACCTACCCTATATTTTGGTGAGTTATTTACTTATTTGATAGGGGGGCATCACTTACCAGCTTCTAACCAACTATATAATTTATCTACTTATCATGTTTATTTTCTGTCTCTTCCTAACTAGAATGTGATATCCAAGAAGGCAGAGATTTATATCTTATTCCTCAATACTTGTGGAATGAATGGATCCACACTAAAGTACAAACAATTGATATAGTTCAATGCATCCCCTGTGCCTTTTGTATAGTTGCATTCTCAGAGGGGACAGCCCAGGCTTTGGGCACTGGGATGGATTACTAATAGTGGAAATACATGTATCAGCCAGAGTGCGGAGGTCTTTTTTGAGGCACCTATCTCCAATTACAGAAATGTCACCATATTGACAGAGGCAGGCTCCTTCTTTTCCTGCTTCTCAGTCATTCCTGGCAATGTCTCTGACAGGGTGTGGGGGTGGCATTAGAATTTACTGTCTCTATTATCCATCTGTCAGGTTCAAATCATCCAAGTTTTCAGGGAGATCAGCCAAGATCTGATCAATCAGAGATCAAGGGATAGGAAACAAAGGAAGGAGGAAAGGAGGAAGAAAAGGAGAGAGAAGAGGTTCAGGGGGCATAAGAAAACCTGGTCCAGGCTATGACTCTCAGGTGTTGGAGGAAGGGGCACCAGGTGACTCAAATGCCGGCCACACCTGAATACAGTGAATCATGGCTGAGTCCTTGTCTATGGGATAGGGTGGACTCCAGGAATGGCCCTGGGGATTTGCCATGTGACTAAAGCTGGCGTTGCCCTGCACCACGACACAACTGCTCAGCTGTCCAGACAACTGGTCACACTCTTCTCTGTGCTTCCCCAGGAACCAGGGAGAGAAAGTGGGCCTGGTATGTTACAGAGGCACAGATAGGAGCTCAGCCTTAAGAGTGGGGAGGCTAAGCAGGACAGAAGCCGCCTGTCATGAGTGACTCTTTTATAGCCCTTCTCCTCTTCCCAGCCTCACCTGTCCAACCTGAATGTTCACCCAGTGGAAAACTGTGCATACAGCTTGAGCCCAAGGGCTGGGAGCAATCAGGCAACTGGCCTAAAGTCACTACAGCTGATGTCTGCTGAGTGCTCGCAGTGCCCAGGCACTGTTCTGAGCCCTTTGCATGTATCCACTCAATACCCACCACAGCTCTGTGGGGATAGAAAATTGTCTTTATCTTGCAGACAAAGAAAATGAGGTACATTTTTGACAACTTGGTCTCAGCTAGTAACTGGGGATTTGAGCCCAGGCCATTTTGCTCCAGCATGCATATTCTTAACCATTACACAGGGCCAAAGATGAGCCATATCGCCTGAACTCCCAGAGTCCACCCTGGCTCATCCTTGGCCAGAGTCCACCAGACTCTGGACCTCATGTCTCCCAAACTCCTCTTTGTTGGCCGGGCACGGTAGTTCACACCTGTATTCCAGCATTTTGGGAGGCCAAGGCGGTTGGATAACTTGAGGTCAGGAGTTTGAAACCAGCCTGGCCAACATGATGTAACTCCATCTCTACTAAAAATACAAAAATTAGCTGGGCATGGTGGTGGGTGCCTATAATCCTAGCTACTCGAAAGGCTGAGGCAGGAGAATCGCTTGAACCCAGGAGGTGGAGGTTGCAGCGAGCCGAGATTGGGCCACTGCACTCCTGCCTGGGTGACAGAGTGAGACCCTGTCTTAAAACAAGAACAACAACAACAACAACAACAAAAACCCTCCTCTTTGTGCCCTTGTTCCAACCCTTGGAGCACTGATATTGTCTAGGGGCTCCACGAGTGACACTGATGCTGTAGAGACATCTAGAACAAACCCCACCAGGTGCTGCCTCCTTATTTGTTTTCCATATTGACAACCTCTCTTGTATGGGCACAGATGGAGAAGGTGCTGGCCTCCATTTCTTCCATCTCAGGGCCTCCAGCACATACCAGCAGGGTTTCCTCCCTCATACCAACAGGGGTGGGTCTGACTAAGGACAGGAGCATGCCAGGAGGCGTGGGAAGACAGAAAGTGATGGCAACATTGCAGTGAGCTGACAAGGTGAAGCAGAGGGCGTGACGAGAGGATGACACAACTTCCCCTTTGCCAAAGGAAGGAGATCCCCTGCCCTGAGTTCAAGAGCCTGGGCCACCTCACAGGCTGCAGCTCCTTCTGCTCTGTCTCCCAGTGTGCCCTCCAAATGGCCCAGCCCTCCTGAGGGGTACAGCCCAGTGCAGCCTGCAGCCTGGTGGAGTCATATGCTAGCTCATGGCTGACTGACTCCCAGAGAACAGAGAAGAATCTTTTCATTCTTGCCACCTCCATCCCCTCCCTTATTTCCCAACATTACTCTGGCAGACAGGCTGGCCCATCACCACGCCCCCTCCTCTAACCTCAATCACCTCTGTCTCTATTCTGTGATTCTATTTGGTCATTGACCTCTGGGGATTAGGTTATTGGGCTCTAAGTCCAACCTCTGTGACCTTTGGGTGATTTGCCATGTGTAGTTGGCCATGTGGCCATGGCCCAGCCTCCGTGAGAGGAGAGAGATATACACCTGTCTGAAGGGGCACCTAGCCACGTGGCATGGTGGGTCTGACAGGTTGGGAGCTTCTTGGGAAGGAGGGAAAGCAATGGCTGAGAGTGAGCTGGGGATTTTGTGTCCTGAAATCTGCTCTTGAAGCTCTCACAGGGCTGCCCCACATGGCTTTCAAATTCTAAATATGATCCCTGAAAAAGCTACTAGACAGACAAACTAGGCATCCTAATGTTTAAATTGGCATTTGAGGGCTGAGTATGGAGAAATAAACACCTTGTGGTTTGATGGGGAAGAGAGAATGGGTGTGTCTGGCTTCTTGTCTGGAATCAACACTGCCTAAGGGCTTTTAATCAGCACCTGCCCACAGCGCCTGTGGCTACACCGGGGTATGTGTATGGACTTGACGTAGCTCTGCTCCGCTACTCAGTAGAATTATAAACTTGGGCAAGATCCTCTCTAAGCCTCAGTTTCATTATTTATAATTAAAGGTATTGGATTCAAATGGTTCTTACTCAGGCTGCCACTCAGAATTACCTGGAGAACATAACATATCATATACCAAGACCAGGCCTCACCCAGAGAATTATTCACTGGCAGACAGGCAGAGACATATGTTTTTCAAGCCCCATAGGTGATTCTAATGGGCAGCCAGGGTTGGGAAACACTGAAGCCCCCTCCAGCTCTAGGATGCTGTGCCCTCAGGATGGGGTGGTGCAGACAGTTGTTAAAAGCCTAGACTTGAGAGAGAGTTGAAGGCTCGAGTCCTGGTTCTGCACTCACTATCTGTGTGACTTTGGAGAGCTCATATAATCTCCAATAGTCCCATTCCTGCAATGGGAATAATGACAAATCTACCTCGTGGATCCTGTGAAAATTAAAGGAAACATGCATTATTGTCAGCAAACTGCCTGGCTAGGGCCATGCTCTACATGGTGTGTGCCTCACACACAGGTATTGGGGGCTATGATCAGCAGTCTTTGCAGCTGCTAACACAGAGCAACTAACACTCCCATCCAGATAGCTCATAAGTCATTCACTGGGCAATGAGCAGGCTTGGGCCGTTCCTCTCCTCCTCCTCCAGGGAAGCCCCAGGCCCCAAACAGAGCATCTGTGCTTTGCACATTCCACCCTATTCCTTAGGAGCTGTAAACTCCCCAGTAGCCATGACCTGGACCAGAAAGAAAGAGAAGACCCCCAGGGGGACCAGTCAGAGCTAAGCTCCTAGGAGTAGGAGGATGCTTCCAGCCTTGCTGGATAGGGAAAGACAAAGTGTGTGAGGGCAGGGAGTGTTTACAAACACAGAGGACAGAGGACAGAGGGGCAAGTATCAGCTAATGGACTTATTGTTTTATGGCCTTCCAGAGTTAGTAAAACCAGAGTCCAACATCTGATTTAAAAAAAAGAAAGAAAGAAAAAAAAAGGAGTCAAAGCTAGTCTGGACAGCAGGTTTGCAACTGAACTCAAAATAATCTCCAGGAAGTCTGATGGCAGCAGAGAAAAGGCACTTCTTCTCCCCGGCCCCTGCCTTCACCTATCAGACAAGTTAAACGACTCTTTACTCAATTTAACCCTTTCCCTTTCAAACAGAATTCAAAACTGCCCCCTTCCGATCTAAATATCGATAAAAAGATTTTTATAACTTTGGAAAATGTTTAGGAGGTACTACTAGCTGGCAGAAAAAAGGGAAACAAATGTACCCCAAATCTACTTCACTCTAAAGAAAAAAGTACTCAGAAAATAAATGTTACCATTTCTCCTCCCTTTCTGTTTCTCTGTGTGCTCTCTTCTTCCACAATGAGCATATTTTACCAGAATAATCAGTGACAGTACGGTAAAAAGATTTAGCGTGAGAAGAGTAAATCTTGTTCACTACAAGTGATCTTTGATTAGTCGATCCTCTCTCTGCTCCCTCCTTGACCTGAATGCCCTTTCACTAAACCCACTGACTTCCCGAGAGTAGACTGTGTATGTTTTCTGAATCATTGCAGATTTTGTAAGATAGGGTTTTCCGTGTTTAAGAAGTATTGCTTCTTGAGGCAGGATTTGTTACGCCAAGAGAGCACTTAGCACAGTTCCTCAATAAATGCTGTGGGAGGAAGGAAAGAAGACAGGAAGGGAGGGAGGACTGAACACGTGAGTAACTACCAGCACCTTATTTTCCTGCTTCCTAACTGCTTGTATGTATTAGGACAAACCAAAAAGAAAGAACCAGAGTTAATTCTCATTTATCTATATTTTGGGAGAAAGAAGTAAGGATAACTAAAATTATTACTCTCGTCCAAATTTGCTTCTCCCATGGATATCTCCCAGGATAATGCTGATTTTGATTTTTCCCATTGCTCACTCAGGACTCTGTACACCCAGCAGCTCATATTGTTCAAGTATAAATGTGTATATATGCCCAAGATTGTGATATTATGTCTCTATGTCATATTTGTGCACTGTCTCCAACAAAAGACCATGACTCATTGTAGCTAGGATTGCCAAATAAAAGAATCCCAGTTAAAACTGGATCTCGAAATACTTTGCTGGTGGAAGTAGGTTCCAAATATTGCATAGGGAATACTTATACTAAAATATGTATTGTTTACCAGAAATTTTACTGGGATTTCTGTCTTTTTATTTGCCAGATCTGGCAACCTCACTCATAGTAAGGGAGGAGACCACCCCTCATATTGTCTTATGTCCAATTTCTGCCTCCAAAGAAAGAAAAAGTGAAAACTAAAAGGCAGAAATGAAATCCACAAGCAGACAGTCTGGCACCACACCCTGGGCCTGGTAGTTAAAGATCGACCCCTGACCTAACCGGTTATGTTATCTAGAGATTCCAGACATTGTATGCAAAAGCATTGTAAAAATCCCTGTCCTGTTCTGTTTTGTTCTGATTACCAGTGCATGCAGACCCCAGTCATGTACCCCCTGCTTGCTCAATTGATCACGACCCTCTCACGTGGACCCCCTTAGAGTTGTGAGCCCTTAAAAGGGACAGGAATTGCCCACTTGGGGAGCTCGGCTCTTGAGACAAGAGTCTTTCCGATGCTCCTGGCCGAATAAAGTCCTTCCTTTTTTAACTCGGTGTCTGAATAGTTTTGTCTGCAGCTCGTCCTGCTACATTTCGTTGTTCCCTGACCAGGAAGCGAGGTGATTGGCAGATGGTCGAGGTAGCTCCTTAGGCGGCTTAAGCCTGCCTTGTGGCACATCCCTGCAGTGGACTCCGACCAGCCCAAGCTTTGCAGATCCTGAAAGCACATCCGGGTAGGCATTTGCCCCGGTGGGACACCTCACCAGAGCAGTGTGTGGCAGGCCCCTGTGGAGGATCAATGCAATGACTGATCACCAAGAAGGAACTGGTACTTGGAGTCTGGGCATCTGAAACTTGGTAAGACTAGTCTTTGGAACTTGCCTATTCCATTTGAGTGTAAGCGTGGCCTGATCACCCACAGCATGCCTTTATCAGCACTTTGGTTTGGTTTTCAGTTTGTTTGAATCGCTTGACAGGACCAGTCTTGGGAACTTGCCCACTCCATTTGAGTGGAAGCTTGGCCTGATCACCCACGGCATGCCTTTATTGGCACTTTGGTTTTGGTTTTGACCTGGTTTGAATTGACTGACAGGACTAGTCTTGGGAACTTGCCTACTCCATTTGAGTGGAAGCATGGCCTGATCACCCATGGAGTGCCTGTACCGGCACTTTGGTTTTTGTTTTTGACTTGACTTGGATTGCTTGGTACTTTGGTTTTGTTTTTGATCTGACTTGGATTTCTGGATACTCTGATTTTGGGTTTGATTTTGGTTTGGTGTAAACTGCCAAAGTGTGCATGTGCCCTCTTTACCCATTCTTTGTTTTGTGGTATGCGTGTGGTGTGAGTATGGTGTTTTGTCTCAAAGAAGCATGGGTCAGGAACAAATAAGCCCACTCTACTAGGAACTATGTTGGAAAATTTCAAAAA